CCGCTCGGCCCCAAGCGGCGGCAGGCCCCGCCCCCTTGCACCCCGTCCCGGCGCGCGCTCATTGGGCCGCGCTCAGTATCAACTTTCCGAGGGGGACCGTGCTCTGGACCGACCGCGCCCCCATTGGCCTGCGCTCTGAGGCCACGCCCCCTCAGGGCCCGCCGCTCCCGCGCTGGCCGGGAGAGGGGCCCCCCTGCTAGCGGCCCCCACCCACCCGCCCGCTCCCGGGCCTCGGTGGAGCCGCGGAGGGCCGGCTTCCTTGTGGGGTGCCCGAGCGCAGAGCTGCCAGATCCGGAAAGGGGCCACGTCTCTTTGGCTGGGTTCCCTGGAGCCGGTTATTCTTTAACGCACGACGGTCCGCCTCTCCCACCCTCATGGAGCCCCAGGGCTGGGTGGCCCGAGCCCGCTCTCGGTGTCCAGTCCGACCTTGGGGCAGCCACCCTGCCGGCCGGCTACACCCCCCTCTAGAACCAACCTGGCCTGGCGACACTACCCCTAATCTGGTCTCTCCCCACACTGTCTGCGGGCCAGGGTGACAGGGCCCAGGCACCCCAGGAGGAGGCAGCCTGTCCCTGAGGTCAGGGGATGCTTTGATTCCTTCCAAACAACCCTCCCGGGCTTTGAAGAAGAGCAGGCTGTGAGGCTCGCGGCGTTCATCCTCCCTGCGCTGGGCATTTATTAAGACGCTGGCAGGAGAGGCCAGGGCAGCCAGGACCCCAGACGCTCTCAGGCTGCCCTCTGCAGGGGACCGTGAGGGAAGAGGGACGCTGGAAGAAGAAACAGCTGTACTTGGGTGCTAGGGCAGGGAGGGGTTGGAGACCCCTGTGTGGCTGAGCCCCACAGGCTGAGGCCGGAGAAGCAGGAGGCCTTCATGTCTGATCTGTTAGCTCGAGCTGCAGGCTGCCGGCTTGAGCCCCCATCTCCTGGATGCTCTCATACACGTTTTCTAGGTCGCTGTGGGTACTCAGGCCCCTAAGTGGGAGGGCCTCGTAGTCCAGATTCCTCCCCCGAGTCAGAATTGCCACTCTGCTTTTGGGGTCCGGCTGGCCTAGGGCAGATCCTGCGTCCCTCCTTTTAGGCTTGCTGATCCTGGAGTATAGGATATCCACCTGGAGGAAGCCCACCAGGGATGGGTCAGCATCATCAACTCTGCCAAGGATCTACCCAGCTCCACCCACTGCACCCCACCCGACCACCCCACTTTACCTGAGTGGCTGGGGTCCCCTGGACCTTCCCCTGGTCCAGGCCTTGGGGACCCCGACCTGTTCCCTTGAGCTTGTGGATACAAGCATACTCAGCCACCACCGATCTGGCCTCAGGCTCGTCTCCGGCACAGCTGCTGGTCAGCCCTGCCCCTGCCCACACCATGGGGCTGGCTGCCAGGCTGGCCCTGGGGATGGCTGCCAGCCCCACATTGGAATAGGTGGCCTCAGGGCCCGTGGAGGGCTGGGCAGCAGCAGTAGTAGGTGAGGTCTGGGGCAGATCCCGGTGTGAGAAGGCGGCTGGGGGCCTGGTGGTGTCTCTAGACACCTCCAGACATTGTAGGCGCAGGAGATCCATGCTGGCAGGCCGAGGGGCTGGGAGTGAGGTCAGGGCAGAGGTCAGTTGGGGTGGAGGGGTGGAGTCTGACCCCAGCAGGTTAGAAGGTGTGGTACAGCAAGCCCCACCCACAACCTGGCTGCTCCCTTGGGCTCACCTGTGCGGTGGAGCGGGCCCTGGTGCAGCTCATGCAGTCTGGTGTCTGACTTGCTGAGGATGCAGAGGGGGGGCTGTCTCAGCAGTGACTGGGGGCAAGGAAGGCAGGTCGGTCCCCGCTGGCCCCGACCTGGCCCCCGGGACAGCCTGGCACTCACCATTTCCGCTGGCATCATGGTACCCTGCAGCCCTGCTGGCTGCCTCCGAGCCTGCTTCCTGGGGGCAAGAGGGTCGTCAGGCCAGGGAAGCAGAGTAGAGGTGCAGGGGTATCAGCCTCTGGTGAAGGGGGACCTGCCTGGAGCCCCACCCCCTCTGGCCACAGCACTGAAACAGGTTCCACATGGAACCCAGGCAAGGGAGGGACATACCTGTGGCAGGCTGCGCACAGCACCCACAGCCAGAGGAGCAGGGTGAGGCACCCTAGGACCCAGAGGGCAGGAGGGGCTGAGGGCACCAGTGGCCCCATCCTGTGTAGCCCTGGACTGGCCTGAGGGCAGAAGACAAGGGTCCTGGGGACTGGCTGAAGGACTGGCCACCCACCTGCAACCCCGCCTCGCCTCACAATGCTGGCGGTCTCCCGCCCTGGGAGCTCTGACTCAGCACACAGGAAACCCAAGGCTCAGCAGCCCCTCCTCCTAGAGGCGGAGGACGCAGCCTAGCGCCCACCTTCCTTTCCCGCCTCTGGTTGGGGGCTCCTGGCCAGTGTGAGAATGTGTGCTCTTCCTGGCCTCACGTGTGCCCAAGCCAGTGATGATAACCCACATGACCGCAGAGCATGGCCAGAGAGAACCTGGCCACGGCTCCACTGTGGTCACTACAACCCAAACCTGAGGCCTGGGGATGCCACTGAGGTCACACGCATGAGCCTTCAAGCCACAGGCCACAGACTCACCTGCAGCCCTTCCCTGCCCAGGTAAGGCCGTCTGAGGTGATGCCTTAGTCATTCACCACAGCTTGGCCCCCTGAGGGGCTGAAGAGGTGGGGGTCAGCTGGCAGAAAGGGGCTGCTTTGGGCACTGAGTACCCTCCCCCCACCTCTCCCTGGCTCTCCACCCCCACCTCCATTCCTGCTGCTGGACGTGTCTCCTTCCTGGGGCTTTAGCAGGGCTGCAGGGGATGGGGGTCCACTCTACAATCCGCAAAGCCTAGCACAGATATGGGGGGTTGGGGCTGAGTCTGCCCAGACCCAGGGAGTGGGCTTCCCCCACAGGAGGTCCCAGTGGCGCGACCTGGTAGGGGCTAGTCCTCCCAGGCCCCAGCCCTCAAGTGCTCCCAGGAGGGCATGCAGCAACAGGCCTGGAGAGCTGGCCAGGCTGGAGTTCAGAGGAGGCACTTACCAGGGCCACGGGTACAGGGCACTCCTCAGCCACCTGGGCAGGCCAGCAGCTCCCAGAGCAGTGGTGCCTGTGTGCAGCTCCCCCACTTCCTGCCTGTGTCTCAGATTTCGTCTCAACCCCCAACAGCAGCAGCCGCCACCACCGCAGCCTCACCCAACTGCTGCACCCCAGCTGGGGCCCAGATAACACTCAGTGGGTGTGTGCTTCGAGCCCCCATGGTTTGAGCCTACCTCTCTGTCTCCACCCACGAAGAGGTGGGCACACACTGGGAGGAGACAGGCCACCAAGCACCGGGGGTAAATCCAGGCTCTCACACCCACCGGCCAGGCCCTCCTGCTCCGTAAGCAGTGCTCTGAGGGCCTGAGCTGGCAGCCCTCCCCCCCCCCCGCCAAGCTCCACAGTCTGTGTGTGTTGGGCCACATGGGGACCCCCCTGGGAGACCAGGGAAGATGACAGTCCCCCTGGGCCCTCTGCCTCTGGGCTCACTGGGGACTCCTCCAGCTCAGCCCCACTGCCCCACGCACAGACACCTCTCCCCACACACCACAGCCAGCCGCGCCACCACTAAAAGACAGCGACAAAGTCACTTTAATGTCCTTGATAAGCAGACACTGGCAGGGGGGCTCTGTGGGCACATGAGCATCAAGACATGACCCCTGTACCCAATCTCCACTCAGCAATGTCCGCACACCCCGGCCTGGCAATAGGCTGACCGTGAGGTCTGGTCTGGGGGTGGCCTCTCTTCTGTCGGCATCTAGTTATTGGAGGACAGCAGGTCTTCCGGAAGCTGTGGGAGCTGGAGCCGAGCCCTGTCCCTGGCACGTGCTGGGCTCTAGAACTCTGTCATCTTCTTGTGGGTGTCTGCCTTCCTCTGTTCCCGCTGCAGGCCCGCTTCCTGGGCCCGGAGCTGCCCCAGCTGCCGCTGGGCTCCTGCCAGCTTCTCCTGCAGCTGGGCCACGGTCACGCTGTGCCTAGAGAGAGGCTGCCACTCAGCATGGGCTCCCGGGCCACTGCTACAAAGACCCCAGGATGCTGTGGCCCCTGCCAGGCATCCTCCCACCATGCAGACCCTCCTCAGACCCAGCTCACCACCTTCAGGTCAGGGCGAAATCCTGCAGATGAACTGCACTGGGCGCCCAGAGCAGGGCCGGAGGCATGGCCACCCTGGGGCCCATCCTCTGCCCCAAGTTGAGCCCCACACATACCGACCAGTGTTGCGGGCGAGGGCCTCCTGGATGCCCCGGATGTCCCGCTGGGCCTGCTCAATCTTCTCCTCGGTCTGGAAGAGCCGCAGGCTCAGGGCCCTCTTGGTGCCCTTGCTGGCATGGTACAGCTCCTTGCCACTCCTCCTCCCAGGGGTGGCAGCTCCTGCCTCCAGGGTCCCAGGAGCCTGGCCCTGCAGCTTCTCATTCAGAAAGTCAAACACGCTCCGAGGGGGCGGGCGGCCCCCAGGCCTGCCTCCTCTGCCCCGGTATTTTGGGGCCCGACTAGTGCCAGCCTTGCTGCCCTTGGTCCTCTTCTGTAGGATCTCTGCACACTGGTCCAGCGACTTCCCTCGAGGCAGCACCACAGCGTGGATGGGCTCCACCCGGCCGTCCGAGTGTCGGCCCAGACCTGGGGGCACAGGGGCTGGCACTGCTGCTGGATCCACTCCCACCACCCTGCACTGTGCAGAGGCAACCCAGCCCCTTCCCCAGGGCAGCACCCACTCACTCACCCTTGCCAAACTCATAGCCCATCTTGGCGAGCAGCCTGGAGCCGATGCCCCGCGTGTGCACCTCCCAGCCCGCAAAGGCAGAGCTGCAGGCCCCGTGGTCGGTGGCGCTGGGTTCCACCACTGCAGGAAACAGGGCAGGGACTTGGCCCAGCTGCACAGGGAACACCTGGGCTCTGGCCAGCGTTAGCCCAAGAGCTCAGTCCTCTCTCCATCCCAAGGACACGGGGTTTCAGAAACCACCAACACATGGGACAGCCCTACAGGGATGCCTCCCGTCTTCTTCCTCACTGACCCCTCAGGGGGCTGGACACTGAAGCTCCCCCGCCCATGGCTGTCTACACACCCCCCCATCCACCACTCGACCCCAGACCCCGAGCGGAAGCTCCAGAAGGAGCTGCTGCTTCCTGCTCTCTGTTCAGCTGGGCCTCCCCAGCAGTGGCCCACCCTCAGGTTGCACCATGGGGGACATGTTTGCACACGAACTCCTTGATGACAAGGGACAGGTCTTTGCGTCTGCAGGTTTGCGGACCTGCCCAGACCCCTCACACATGCTCTCATCCTCCCACCTCCTGTGGGGGCCTCCCTGTTTCTCCAGGCCCAACTAGTGCCCCCTGCTGTGCATCATGCACTAGGCAGAGCCCCCCTCACCCGCGGTCACGCTCTCTGCCTTTCTGCTTAGGTGGTCAAGGTCCCCACCAGCCAGGAACTTCCTAGGGAGACTGCTGCCCAAGATGCTCCTTGCCCTGTACCTCTGGCATAGCTGGAATCGTCCGGGTCACCACTGTCTGAGTCAGAGGATACTGCAGGCTCTGGGCGCAGTGGGGGAAGGATGCTGTCCCCCTCCAAAACGGCCTCCTTCAACAGCAGCGAGTCAAACTTGACTGTGTAGTAGCCGCTGTCCATATCTGGAAGGTCAAAGACAACCAGGTCAGCGGCTTCACAGGTGGTTGGAGACTCACTGGAAGTTGGGAGCAAGACGGGCCAAGGCCAGGGGCACTCTCACTCCTCTTGGGCACAGAGCAGGGACCTGACACCCAACCAAAGGAGTGGTCATAGGGGATTAACACGAATGAGGAATGGAGGGACCTTCCAGAAGGGCCTGAGGGAGGCCCATGGGCAGCCTCACCAGTGATCCGTGCTGGGTACCAGAGACCATCTGGTTGCTTGGCCAGACATGCAGAACCAGCCTGCAAGGAGCTCAGGTCCGGGTCCTGGAAGGGGCGCAGCTCATCCACAGGGACCACCTGCCCATGGGAGAACCTGCAGAGAGGGCCGCAGGAGCCGGGGCTCAGACACAGCCCACAGGGGGCATGTGAACCCCAGAGAACCAAGTCTAACTATCTGGGCGTAGCCCTCAAGGGAGGGAGAAACAGGGAAACAAAACACACACAAACACGTGTCCACACATACATACATACATACATACCATTTGTACACATCCATACACACACGTGCACACACTTGTGCTGTCTCACTCTCGCTCTTGGGATGGACATGGCCCCTCTGAGGATGAACCCGCTCTCAGCTTTCTGGGCCAGGGTGACAGTGTGGCGGGCACAGTGCCCCATCGGCTCCACCAGACACAAAGCCCCAGATGCAACCGGTAATCAGGGCAGGTGTTTGTGTGCTCATGTGGTGAGTCCTCCCCAAACCAATTAGCACAACCCACTTATAACAGTGGTGCCTTGACTTCCAGAGATCAGTGCACCAGTGAAATTAAAACTAAAACTGAGAGAGAGAGAGAGAGAGGAGGAAATGTGAGGATTGCAACCTTTACTTTGCCAAATAAAGACATGAGAAAACCAACCACATATCTACCCCTATGTGCCATCACTTCCAGAGGAAACTGCTTTAACCCCACGAGAGCAGAGTAGCCAGGACTGGAGCCCATGCTGGGCATGGCTGTTTCTTGAGGCAGGAATTGGTGGTGACAAAGAGGGAGAGGGAACCAAAGGTGGAAGGCGTTTGTCTGGCAGATACAGAGGGTCTCAGGGCAGCTCCTTCTCACACCTGGCTGTCCTCAGGCACCCAGGGAGCTGCCAATGGCCGAATGGCACCAGCAGCTGCAAGTCTGGGCCCCAAATGGACAGCAGTAGAGTCTGTGGTTAAAAAGCCCTGATCAACCGAGAAGCAAAACCGCTTGTTCAAAAGGGGGGACTAAACCCAGGTGAATGCAACCAAATACCGCCTTCGAGACACACACACTGGCTCACACACACTTTCAGACTCCTCCATGCACACAGATAGAGGCCTACATCCACAGACACCACCACTTAAACCTCTCTATAGGAACCTTCAGCAACATTAGAAACCTTAAAATTTGGTACATTCTTTAAACCTAGCAAGCACTTCAAAAAATTTTTGTAAAAAAATAATGGAAGTATGCAAAGATTTAGCTATAGGGATGTTAACCGAATACTAAAGACTGAGAAATAGCCTACATTTCCAACCATGGGAAGTAGTTAATGGCAAATCCATAAAATGGATTGAAGCCTAAGAGAATGGGGTAAATTGACAGATGGAATGAAAAGAGCTCTACGGGAGCTCCACGCATACAGAAAGCTTCACATTTAACAGGAAGTGTTGGAAACGAGTCAGGAAAAGAGGGACTGTGCGTTTCATAAGGAAACAACTTAAAATTGTTTTTTCATATTAAAAAAAAACAAACTTGCCCAGCCAATGTGGCTCAGTGGTTGAGCATCGACCTATGAACCAGGAGGTCACGGTTTGATTCCGTCAGGGCACATGCCCAGGCTGCAGGCTCGATTCCCAGTGTGGGGCGTGCAGGAGGCAGCTGATGGATGATTCTCTCTCATCATTGATGTTTCTATCTCTCTCTCCCTCTCCCTTCCTCTCTGGGAAAAAAAATAAATAAATAAGTAAGTAAGTAAGTAAGTAAATAAATAAATAAACACACACACATAAACACCTTCAAAATATATTTAAAAATTAAAAAAAAACAACTCCATCACCACCTCACAATAGTCACAGAAACACATGCCAGAGTCTCAAGCATGTGAACCCGAGAACAAGCTCTTAGGACTGCATTCCCCGAGTTCAGCTGGCCAGGTGCAGAGGTGACTGAATCGTTGCCACAGGAGAACAAGGCTAACACTGGGCAAACTGTCCAAACGCACCGCTTCTGAGCTCTGGAAGTTGACGGCAGCAGTGATGCCTGGAGGGGGGTGTCTGCAGCATCCCCTGCAAAGCAGCAGACGCAGAGGGTGGAAGTGGGGAAGACGGTAAAAACCAGGGCCTTGTGGCTAAAAGTGATGAAACCAATCAAAACTACCAGAGAACGGACAGGTCTGAAAGGGCCACAGAGGGCTCCACTCTGCGCACGTCCTCTCTATGGAATGGTGCGCATGAGTCAAGAGCTCTAAGACGTGCCAGGACAAAGGAAAAATGGGGGTGAGGGGGCGCTGAGCTAGGAATGACACTCCCAACTCACATAGATGGACTGGGAAGGAAGTGTCTGAGCACAGCCTCCGACTAAGTTCTGGCGGACCACTCAGCTGCAGAGTGCTGCCTAGGAAGCCAGATTGAAAAGTAAAATTAAATTTAAAATCTGAGCAGAGCCACCAGAGGCTGCACACTATGGCAGGTGGGCAGATTGTAAGTTAGGTCCAGAAAATGTCCTAAAATAAAACATTGGGAAAAACAATTCAGAATCCAGAGTTGCTAAAATATATCTGAAATGTCCAGTTTTCAATAAAAATTTATAAGACATGCAAACCAACAGAAAAGTGTGACCCATATTAAGGAAAAAAAGCAGTTGATAGGATCTGACTGAGTGGGCCAAGATGGTGAATCTAACAAAGACTTCAAAGTAGAGAGTATAAGTACGTTAAAGGAATTAAATGACAGTGTAATGATGACGATTCAATAAATAGGGAATCTTAAAAGAGAAGTATAAATTATATAAGGAATCAAATAGAAATTCCAGGGCTGAGAAGTCAATGCTGAAATGAGAACTCACTCAGTGGGACACTCTGGTCACCAGTCTAGCATATAAGAAGTGAGGAAGTCATCCCTCTGTCCTAAGAAAAAGTGCAATGAGTCCGGCCGGCGGGGCTCAGTGGTTGAGCGTTGACCTATGAAGCAGGTCACCAGAGACCTGGGTTTACGAGAAGAAAGAATTATTCAAAGCTTCCCTTCATTACTCACCACCATGTCACTAATGGCCTGTTTATAACAGTTCTTTGTAGCCAGTACTTTGTGTCTGGCTATCAAGAAAATAATTACAAAGCACACTAAAATACACCATATACCAAAATATGGATAATAGAATCCTAAAAAAAGAGGGAGAGAAAGGGACAGAAATAATGTTTGCAAAATTGAAGAATAATGGCTGAAAGCTTCCCAACTTTGATGAGAGATATGAATCTATACATCCAAGTAGTATAAAGTAAAAGAGACCCACACCAAGACAAACTGCTAAGACCCAAAGACAAAGACAGCATCTGAAGGTAGCAAGGGAAGTGGCTCTTCAGGGATGAGGATCCTCAGTAAGACTAACAGCTGATTTCTCATCAGAAACTATGGAAGCCACAGGCAGTGGGATGACATATTTAAAGTCTTGAAAAAAAAATGCTGTCAGACAAGAATCATATTTCTGGCAAAACTATCCTTCAGAAATGAAGGAGAAATGAAGACATGTAAACAAGAGCTGAGGGAGTTTGTCACTGGTAGACTTGCCTACAAGAAACTCTAGTCTGGCTGGCGTTGCTCAGTGATTGAATGTCGACCTATGAACCAGGAGTTCATGGTTCAATTCCCGGTCAGCCCACATGCCCAGGTTGCGGGCTCGATCCCCCGTAGGGGGCCTGCAGGAGGCAGCTGATCAATGATACTCTCTCATCATTGATGTTTCTAACTCTCCCTCTCCCTTCCTCTCTGAAATCAATTAAAAAGAGAAATGCTACAGGGCATTCTTCAGACTGGAATGAAAGGACAGACACTGGTCAGTAACTCAGGCCATATGAGCACTGGGAGAGGTAATCAGAGGCAAACAGAAGAGCAGTATTAAAATTTTTTGTTTGCAACTATTTTTCCTATATGATTTCAAAGACAAATGTATAAAGCAGTAATCACAAATCTATATTTCTGGGCACACAATGTATAAAGGTGTAATTTGTAACAGTAACAACATAAAGGGGACTGCATAGCAGCAGTTTTGTGTCCTACTGATGCTAACTCGGTATTGATTCAAACTAGATTGTTGTAAATTTACAATGTTAATCACAATTCCGAGAGTAACCATTAAGAAAATAACACAGAATTCTATGTTATTATGGGGCAAAAGTAGGTTTAGAGTTGTGAGTATGTGAAATACAGAGTTTATTCTTGTATTATTAGTTATTAATTATTGTATTATTTTCCATACAAGCAACTGTAAACCTACTTTTGTCCCACCGTGTTTGCAGAAAAGGAGAAAGGAATCAAAATGTTACAATGGGGACCTACCCGATTTGGCTCAGTGGATAGAGCGTTGGCCCGTGGACTGAAAGGTCCGGGGTTCAACTCCAGTCAAGGGTGCGTACCTCAGCCCTGGTCAGAGTGCATGCAGGAGGCAACCAATCTATGTGTCTCTTTCACATCAATGTTTCTCTTTCTTTGTCTCTCCCTGTCCTTGGGTGAGGATTGACAACAACAACAAAAAGACACAGTGGAAAAAACAAACACTAAAAAAGGCTGTAATAGAGGAATTGAGAAACAAAAAGATATGAGACACATAGGAAAAGAAAACTCACAGAGGCAAGTCCTTGCTTATCATAATTATTTATTTTGCATACTCTTCTTTTTTAATTAAATGTTTTTACTGACTTTAGAGCGAGGAGAGGGATAGAGAGAAACACTGATGAGAGAGTAACATTAATAAGCTGCTTCCTGCACGCCCCCTACTGGGGATTGAGCCCACAACCTGGGCATGTGCCCTGATTGGGAATTGCACCAGTGACTTCTTGGTGCATGGGACGATGCTGAACCACTGAGCCACACCAGCTGGGCTAACTTTATTTTTTATTTAAAAAAATATTTTTTATGTTTTATTGGTTTCAGAGAGAGGAAGGGAGAAGGAGAGAGAGATAGAAACATCAATGATGAGAGAGAGGGATGGAGCCCGCAACCCGGGCATGTGCCTTGATCGGGAATCGAACCATGACCTCCTGGTTCATTGGTCAGTGCTGAACCACTGAGCCACTCTGACTGGGCTTTATTCTTATTTTTAACTTAAAAAATAATTCTCACCTAAGGATATG